AAAACTCCCAGTGGGGAGAATCACTTTTTTGGGGGTGGGGGTATTCTCAGCAGTTTGCACAAGGCTCTACCTGGGGTGGTTTCTCAGGAAATCAGTGTGGAATGAATTTGTCATAGGGTCTTTGCTTCTCAGGACATAAAGGGCCCCTAGAGGCCCTCTCATCCAGGCCTGTCTCATGTTGGATTCCACAGCATGACGTCCAGACAGATGGCCATCCAGGGGCAGGAAGCTGCCCACCTCCTGAGAAGGCCCCCTCCATTCCTGGGCAGTTCGGATTGTTAGAGAAGTCCTTATTCTGTCCACCTGAAATTGTCCTCCTGGCAACTTCTGCCCAGTAACTCTAGTTCAGCCCTCTGGGGCTTTACAGAAAAAAAGGAAAAGGAAAAAAACCAAAAACACCCTTCTTCTTCTGTAAGGCAGCCTTTTAGATTTTCTAGGAGTGAATACATTTCCCCTCTGTCTCCTTGATCTTCCAGGGTTGAGGTGTTGAGGAAGCACTGTGTTAATTTTGAGAAGCAGGTTAGACTGATTCATTGTTTTTTGAAGGCCTTTTATGTGTGAGTCATAGTGCCAGGTGCCATATTCCACTGGTCCTCCCAGAGGCATAACCTGCTTATCTCTCTTTCTCTTTCCCCTGATGCCCTGGCCCCGGGGGAAGACAGGGGCCCATCCTACCCTGGATGTTCTGTTTTGGAGGTAGTGGTGAAAGGTTAGCAGTTCTTATTCCAGTACCCCCCAGCACCCTAGATAAGTCTCCAGCTGATGATGTGTGAAGGCTGGTTTTCTGGCTGGCTGTACTTCCCAGATGTCACCAATGAAATGAATCAGGGAATTAAAGAATCTCCCTCTGAGAGGACCCCCGAGGGCCATGACTTGGCATTGTAGGCACTCTGTAACTGGAGGATTTTTTTTCTTCTCCTCCTCCCTCTCTCCTTTCCTGATGTCCCAGTGAGAACACTTTGTGCTGTTTTTTCCACCCACCAGGCAGAACAGGCGTAACAGAGAGAGCCAGACCTGGGTTCATGATATATTGGTGCTGCCACTTGGAAGCTCTGAGACCCCAGGCCAGTTAACCCATTTGCTCTTTGAGCCACTGTTTTCCCATCTCTAAAATAACCACCTCTACATCACACAACTCAGTGAGAAAATGCCTGCAAAGCCCCTGGCCCAGCCCTTGCTGCACAGAAGATGCACAAACATCAGCTTTACGCTCCCCTTTCTCCTTCCCCCAACCTTCTTTCCCTGCCATTTTTGAGGGATTTAAAGGCACAACACCGTGGCTTCCCTGGGGAAAAGAAGCTGAATGTGGACATAGTAGCCAAAGTAGTCCTGGGTGGGTATTTGGGGACAAACTGTCAGTTTCCTGTGAGCTCCTGGTGAGATCAAAGCGGTTAAAGGGTTCTCAAGTAGGAGAGGCTGGGAAGGTTGTAAATGGCAGTAAGTGAGCCCTCGCTGCGCTACCGCTGACTTCCCTGACTTCCCTGCACGCATCACGGGGCTATTGAATGTCTCAGAGCCTGTTCCCCTGGGCCGTGACTTGCCTGCAGCGGCCCTTCAACCGAAATGCTTTTCTCGGGGACCCCTCAGCACTGTTGAGCTGGCTCCCTTTGGACATGTGTTCCCCACACTCACATCTGCCACTCCCCACTGGCCTCCCCGCCATGGTCTCAGTCAGCCACACTTGGCATCCAAGAAAGAATCATCGCTGGGCTTCCAGCAGTCACACCCACAGCCGGGTGAATAGGTCAGGAAACCTGCACATAACCTCGAAGTGCCTAAGGGAGCTGTGTTTTGCAGTAGTTGATCAGAGCCGAGAAGATAGCGTGGAAGCCTGTAGTCCTCCCCGTGAGAGGAGGAGGGAGAACAGAGGCGTTGTGGGGTCGGAGGTCCCTGCCTTTCAGTAAACGTGTCCGTGCTTTTTATGCGCTGGGTGTTGGAGATACCCCGACGGGCCGCACGCAGACGGGGGACAGAGGCGGGGGCACAAGTCGCCAGCACACTAGGTGACAGCCCAGAGGAGAAAGGCGTTGATTCTGCCCAGTGGGCAGAGGCGGGAGACTTCGTGCAGGGAAACAGCATTCCAGCAGGACTGTGAAGGGTGGGCAGGTCCAGGAATTACTCTCACTTCAGCCAGAAAATCCTGTGAAGCAGGGTTTAACAGCCCCGAGACAAAGAGTAATGCAAAGGGAGTGGACATTTCCCCATCAGCCCCAATGGGATATTTTAGATTAAGTAATGGCCCATCCTTGCCTTGGACAAAAGATAACACCTCCACTCCTGGGAAACTCTCACCCTGTGTTTTCTTTAAATGATCACTAAAATTCCTATCTGTGGAATGGTGGGATTGCCCAAAGAGTTGGATGTCCTCTTTCCATCCTGTTCTGGCAAATCTCCCTGCACTCTGCAGTCACTGAGCTAGGGGTGCTTCAGACTAAAATCCTGTCACTAAGCAGATTTTTAAGGGTTTCATATACAGCGGGCCAAAGCTAGTGCAAGGTCCGACCCTCCCACCACTCAGGTTCTGATACCATTTGAGCAAAGCTGGAGATAGCCAAGGGGTCATGACAATCCCCAGTCCCCTCCCCACCCCCACCCCCAAGGCATTCTCCTCTGTTCCTGAGCTGAGCTCTCGCACCTGGGTGTTTATTTTCACACGTAGTCACACGGTGCTTGCACTGGTGTGCTGGTTTTGACAGTCCTCTCCTGCTGTGGGAAGCCCTGTCTGGATTCTGGGTTGTGGATTCCGTCCTCCCCACCCAGCTGAGTGTTAAATCATTTCTGAGGGAGCATTCTGAGTGCCTGGAAGTTACTGTAATTAGCAAGAAAACGGTGTTTTCATCTCTCTTGGTGACCAATAGAGAAAGAATCCTCCTGTGCACAGAATCCGCTTCAGATCTCCAGCTAGAGAGGCTGGGAATTGAGCTGCCGCAGTAAACAGCTGACATAACAGAAGCGGCAATGATCCCCCATTAAATGTCTTTCAGCCGATAGGGGCTCCCGGGATAATTGACTTTCCAGCAGGAATTACTGGCTCAAACAAAATCACTGGGCATTAGGGCAACCTCCTGCATCCTTTGAAAGGGGGACTGTAACTCTCTCTGGTTTTGCTGACCTGACAGGCATAATTTATCTTGATTATTCATTGTGCTAGTTGCCACCAGATGACACCAGATTTCTGTTGACTGTAATTACAATGTGGGGATGAATCTTAGCTTTTTTCTTTTTTTTTTTTTTTCTCCTGCTTGGTTATTGGCCTCCCTGAGCTGAAGAGCTGTAGGGAGATCTCTAACGTCTGCCTGGGGAGATGATGAGTGCACAGTCAGATAGCATTTACTGAGCACTTCCTTACACACATCTTTGACGAGATAAGCAGGGAAACAATTTGGTGTAGCCTGTTTCATTTCAGCTGACAGAGTGTCACTTCTTCTTGGTTATACCTACCTCCCTGTGTACTAAATTGCTTCTATCAGAAAATGGGTCTGCTTCTCAGAGCCCTCTTTGAGTAGGGGAAGCAAAGTATGGTCCCAAAATATAACTGAATAATAACCTCCTGCTTTCAGGCAAGCTTGATTAGAGGGGGAGATAGGAAAGAAGGGAATTAGACCAGGCTTTTGTATTATTGATGAGGTTTTACAATGCGATCCCTGAGCAGTCCAAAGAAAGTCCTCCCAAAAACCTCTGCTCCCCATCCCCAGATGCCCCTCCCCAGCCATTTGCACACCCCAGTGCTTGCACGTGCACATGTAGTCCTGGGGGAGAAGTGAGAGAGTGACAGCCTCCGTGCGTCTGGTCCCATCCACTAGGTCCTCCGCTGACCAGCGTGGCAGAAGTAAATAGCAGACTTCTGCTGTGACATTTCATATTCCCCACTAGTGGAGGGCCTTTTTGACTCTTCTGTACAGTAGATGTGTGTATTTTTAGAAGAGGTGCTTAATTGATTAAAATAGCCAGTTATTGCCTTTTAACAATGTTGTAGTTCATCAAGCATTCACTGGGGCCTATTAAGTGCCAGGCAGTGTGCTGTATGTTGGGGGTACAAAGATGGATGAGACCCTTTCCTCTCAAGGAGCTTACAGTGTGGTGAGGATGATAGATAATTCCAAGATATGTTAAATTCCAAACTCAAAATGTACAGAGATTGCTTCCAGAGTACTTGGTGCAGCCGCAAGTGAGAGGAAGGCTTCCCCAAGAAGATGTTGCCTAATCCAAGGAGTTAAGAGTTACCCAACTGAATAAAGGCAGGAAGCAGGTCCCAAGAACATAAAGGCATATTTGCCATTTCCTCTTATTGGGCTGAGTGGTGTTGGTTTAACCTAATCAATTAAATTAGGATTAGCTTTTCGTTATTTCTCTAATGGAAATGCATTTCACCCTAGTGGCACAGTCTCTGTACCTTGGGAATAATGTCAAGCTCTGAGGACCCTCCTATCACTAGACTTACGGCTTCTAGTGGGGAGGCTTGGTCAAGAGACCAGAACTTCAGGACCTGTGTCCTGCTTCCTGTGACCCTTTATCCTCCACTTAGAGTGTTCATGAGGGAAGCTGGGCTAGGTGTCTTTAATAACATACCATATAACATACCGTATAGTATCTAAGCATGCCATAAAAATCATACAAATGCATATACCATACAGAACCTGAAGAAAAGTGGTACAGCTCAGAGTGATGGCTTCTGGAAGATCAGCTAGGGATGAGCAGGTTCTCAGAAAGTTGGGCCTCTGTGTCCTTCTCTTCCAGGATTATCAAGGGTAAGTAACACCCACCCTCCTCCAACAAATGGATGTGATTCTTCCACCTGACTCCCTCTTATTTTGGAACTGTAACTGAAAGCAAAAGATGTCCCTGTAGGAGCGGCAGAGGTGGTCAGCTGAGCAGTCTTTTATAGTCTAAGCCAGGATAGCACAGTTGCTGAGGGTTTTCGTCTTTGCCCTGAATGATTGCCTCGCCCTCTGCCACTCTGTCCTTCTCCCTTCTGAGCTCTGTGCTTTGTTCCCCTTCAGAATGGTGGTTTGGCCTGGACTGATGATGCGGATGGAGGCCGGGGAAGAGAGATCTCTCGAGATTTTGCCAAGGTCTGTAATGTTTCCTTTGTGATAATGAAAGGGGCAGTTCTCCAGTGGGTTGTTGTATCTGATCCCCAAGGAATAAGGACAGGAGTGGCCTGTGAGTCACATCTGTAGTCAAAAAGAGAGATGGTTGTGTATCTCTGGTGTGAGACTTCCTGCATTAGATGGAATTTTTCATTGTGGTTTTTTTTTTTTTTTTTTTTTTCCTGGGGGGACTGGGATTGCAGCTGTATGAACTGGATGGTGATCCGGAAAGGAAAGAGTTCCTGGATGACCTCTTCGTCTTTATGCAGAAGAGGGGTGAGTGTGCAGTCTACACAGTTTTTCAACTCAGTGAATATTAATTGAGTGCCTACTGTGTGCAATTCACTGTTAGCCATCCTCCGTGCAGAGTGCCAGCATCTTACTTAGCCCAGGAGAACAAGAGGCATTTCCTGCCGATCGGTTCTGGCCTTAGCAGGGTAATTGGCAGACAACGAGATCGAAATGGGCAGAGAGGGCCTTGGCAGAAAATGAATGGAATGATCCATCCAGATTTGGTCCTGCCTTATTTGTGATGCTCTCTTCTGATTAACTGGTCTCTGGAGGTATTTCGAATTCAAATGTACTTTTTTCTTAGCCTTCTAGCAACCTTAGACATCACTTAAACTAGTATGTGGGGTTTCCTGTTGGTGTACCTAGTCTCAAAGAGACTGAGAAAGGCCAATAAAAGAATAGAGGTCCCTCAGGATTTGCTGAGAGGGTCTGAAATGATCCGGGAAAAGGGAAGGCTAACTCTTTTTTCTTATCCATTGGCTCTTTGATTTTTTGCACACACTGGCTTGGTTGGGGCGTTCCTGCAGTTTAATTGTAGTTTGCGTGGGCATCTGCTTCATAATACACCTTCCCACTTCTCTGTCCATCTCTCCTTCTCACTCCCACCCCCCCCTTCCCCAGCCATCTCCACTTTGGACCCTGGCGTGACTGAATCTTGAGCCCAGTGACTCAGCTTCCTGGCTTTATATCCTGTCATAGCAGTGGGTTCACCAGCCAGGTCAGCCCTCGGGAAGCATGGCCAGAAACCCAGCCTCTCTAGGAGAAGGTCCTCAGCAACCTGCCTAGCTCCACCTTCATCACCTTCAGGACAAAGCCACACGAGAGAGCTGTTCACACCAGCCTCTTGCCTGGGACTCTGCTTATGTCTGATCACGCATCCCCAGGTTTCTGTGTCAGCTCCTTTATTGAGACCTGGGACTGAAATCTCCTCTTCGTCTTAGGCTGAGCTATAATGGCAGCCCCCAGCAGGTACTATTCTGTGTGAACTCTTTTCTCTCCCTCTTCCCGCCTCCCCCAACACACCCTTCCCTCTCTCCCCCTCCTTCCTCTTCCTTTACCTGCTAAAGCCTCATTGCTGTCCTAGTAGCATGCCCATTACTGCTGGTTTTTCTTACAAAAACAATTGAAAGTTTTGAGTCTAAGTGTCCTCCCATCTCCAAGCCTCTCAAAGCAGTCTAAGCAGCCTAATTAGTTTACTCCTCCAACTGCTATCTGGAGCTGCATGTGTCAGTAAAAAACAAGAATATAATCCTGAAAGATAATGTGACTGGCAGCAGTGAAACTCCCTGGTTGCCCTGAGAGCGAAAAATCCACTTAATACTTTGGTCTCCCTTCCAATTACCTTTTAATTATTTACAAGCTCCACAAGCCCAGCTGGTGCAGACCCAGGAGCTGATCCCGTCTCAGAGGGGCTGCCATAGCAATATAGATTTTAATCAGCAGTGTGGCTCCACTGTCTTATTTTCTCCTTTATTGTTTGTCTCCCTTCCCAGAAGGATTTTTTTAAAGGAAAATGGAAGTTAGATCAGCCTAGCCAAGAGTGAATCTCGGAAATGATTTGTTTCCTACTCTGTGTCCCCGTAGACTAGGAGCTCCTTGAGGACAGCCACTTTATCATTTCTTTGTGTTCCCAGGCTAGCACGGGGCCAGACAGGGAGGTGCTCAAAAGGTGTTTGCCGTATGAGCAGTCCTGTAGGTTTTCCTTACTCAGCAGGCCCTGCGCGGGGAGGCTGAGCTGCCCCCCTTTGATAGCCACCCCGTAATTGGAAGCCGGCAGCAAAAAGCAGCATGCACTCACTGCAAAGCCTGCCCCTCCGCGGCGGCTGGGGATTGCCAGACTGCCATCGAGTAGATTTCAGAGCAGGAGCAAGTGACTCCCTTTGATCGTGTCAGTTCACGGTTATTCAGGCTGGACAAATCTTTTTGGTCCTCAGCACTTAAAATGTTAGGTATTTCACTGTTTGCTGGCATCACCCGTAGAAACAGAGGAGTCCATTTTGCTACTTGTTAGTTACCTGAATACAAGGTTTCTCAGCCTTAGCATATTTACTTAGGGGACTGGACAGTCCTTTGTGGTAGGGGGCATCCCCCCGAGTCATGATAACCAAAAATATCTCTAGATAGTGTAAACGTCCCCTGGGGGACAGAAGCACATTCCCCCACCGCACCCCCCCCCCATTGAGAACCACTACTATAGAAGGATGGGAAAGAGGGTGAAGGTCTAAAATTTCCTTTGCAGAGAAATTCTTTCTGGAAATCATCTTACCTCCGCTCAGGTAGCAGGACCTGAGGGCAGCAGGGGCCTGTGCCGAGCAATATCACAAGCGCCCCTCCCGCGGCTGAGTGCCCAAGGAGTGGGTGCTGGGACCCTGTCCTAGGCTGGGGTTCAGGGGAGGCCTCTGAGAATAGCTGCACTTCCCCCAGATAGGAGGTAACAGGAGTGGAGGACCCACACAGGCGGAGGCAGAAGCGTGTGACCCCATGACCCAGGCACAGCCAGCACCCCACCGACCAAGAAGTTAGCACTCTGGTCTATGCACATAGAACGTGGGGAGTGTCACCAGAGCTGGGCCTTCAGGAAGCTTGCTGTGGCAAGCAGTGGGGGGAGGGGGGGTGGGTAGAGAGGGGAGAGCAAGGCACAGAGGCAGGGTGGAGGTGGTTCCCTTTACACTCATGGTGATCTCCTCCCTGGAAAACTCGCATCTGATAGTCTAACCTAGAGGGGGCGCCTCAGGAGGGCTGCGAGCAGATCAGAGTTTTACTCATGTGAAGCTTGCTGTGTTTGCTCTTCACACAATGATGAGACCGAGGGCCCCCTGGACATTTGTGACTGATTCATCACCCCCAAATCGGAGTGTCTGGGGCACTCAGGAGCCAGATATCATTAGTTGGGTCCGAGGAAAAGCCTCAGAGACTCCGGCAGCAGGCCAGCGATCCTCCTCCAGAGCTAACAGGAAGGAGAAACGTAGAATTCACAGGAGCCACTAAAAACGGCCTGACTTTCAAAGGCTTGCTGGGAGTGGGGGCAGGCAGCTTTGACGCTGCAGGCTGCACCGCAGAGGAAGGGGACAGGGCTCTGAGGGAGGCAGTGGCCAGCAGGCTGCCCCAGTGACCACAGCTGCAGGTGATAAAACGGCTGTCCAGTGGGAGAGGGGCCAGGCCATAACTGCTGCTTTGTGCAGGATCTCCTTCGCTTGTTAACATGTTTAAGTGAATTGACTGCAACAGATGGGCCTTTCAGCTCCAGGCACCTTGGTTTCTGGGCCAGGCCAGGGTGACTTGCACCCTGTTGACCCCTCCCCCACCAGCAGAGCAAGCTGCCCCAGAGGGAGCCTGAGAAGAGACCCAGGCAGGGGAAGGAGCTGTAGACTGAGTGCAAAGCCAGGCTCACATCCGCCCCGACCCATCTCCATGAGCTAGAGCAAATCCTTCTCCTTCTGGGGGCCACAGTTTCCGTATATGTAAAATGAGAGGGTTCAATTAGAGTTAATCTGGAAGTTTCTTCCAAGTTCTATGTTCTGTATTATGTTCATGACTGTCTTTTGAGCTCCCAACACATAATGAGCCACCCTCAGTGACCAAAAAGAGAAGAAAAGCCCTTTTAGCAATTTTCTATCAAAACAATTGTGTTTTGACCCCCAAGACCAAGTGCTTCTCCCCTTTCCTTACCTAAGCCAAATTGAAGTCAACAAGTTGCCTTTGCTTCTGCTGCCCCACCCGTGTTTCTCTAGAAAGATTGGTTAGATTTCAGAGTTCCGATGCCCCTTCTTACTTACCTTTGGCTGCGTGCACACGCACGCACGCACATGTGTGTGTAGAAAATACACACACGTTTCTTTGCCAGAAATAAAGCCAAACTATTGTAAATAAAATTCTCTGGCTAATTAAATTGACTTTGGGTGATTTCTGAGATACCATTCTGTGATAGATATTCCAGGGGGAAATCTAAGTAGGCCAGAGGGGGACTAATTTGGAAGTCTGATAAGCAGAGGCTTATAAACAGTTCCATTCTTCATCAGTGAGGAAGAAAAGCTTGTTTTCTTGTTCCCTAGGCCATGAAACAGAAAGAAATCGATTTTGCTGTTATTTTTATTATCCCGTGTACTTTATAGAACCCTTTCAACCCATTTTCTGATCTGCTCCCCACAGCTCCAGCTCTAAGGGGTAGAGAGAGCAAAGGTCACCAGGTTAAGGGACTTGCCTAAGGCCACAGAGCCGATTTAGCATTTGTCCCCTGACTCCTGGGCCAGTGCTCTTTCCCTCTCCTGCACTTGAGAAACTTGGTCCCTAGTACCAGCAGCTCCATCACTTCCTGTTCGGGCAATGGGCAGGCCTTGTCTCTCCTTCAGCCTTCTGAGCCCCATGGAGAATGCTGGTCCACCTCCACGGTGGGGTGTCCGGTAGGGTCTGACAGCATCTAGCCGATTAACCCAGAGGTAGAACTATTCATGTAAGAGGAGTCTTCATCTCAGGGTAAGGCCTATCTCTCAAGGAAAGGCAGATGTGACAGTTCACAGTAGCACAGAGGTTGCCATCTGTCAGGGCAGGATGGGGTGGGGGTGCAGGGCATAGGAGGCAGAAGTTCTGACACATCATGCACGCACCCAGAGCACCCTCTCCCTGCCCCAGCTGGACACACCAGGTGAATGAACTGCTTAGTCACACAGAGGACAAGTTTTGTCAAGACCTCACCCAGAGAACTGCCCTCCTTCCCCCACTAGTTCTGTTCAAGGCTGCAAACTGACCTTGGTTTTCCCAAATGGATTGTTGAATCTGGTTTTGATGTGTATATACAAGGAATTTACTGTGGGAAAAGGGTTTGGTCTGCCTCAAAGTGCAATTTGAGTGTTTTTCCTTCTGTTGTGTGCTTATCTATCCATCTCAGGCAAGGAAATGTTCGTGACATATATTGCTTTGCCTTTTGGTGGAGGCAGTTTCTCATATATTCTTTTTATCTTGAAGTAAATGGTCTGTGCCATGGACAC